TGGTAGTCATTGGAAATTAGAACATGTTATGCTTCCATGGATTGTGGATATGTCTTGTAATCTGAAAAAAAAGACTCCTATCATAGTTATAAGTAGCAATGAGAGCTAAACATGCATTTTCATTCACTGCCATGTTCAAATCAAGCATATTACTCCATTTTAAGGCAGGTAGATATTACAAAATGTTGTCAAGAATCAAAAGAATATAGAGAAACTTAACCCCTTGGTGCAGTTTAATATCCTTTAAGATGTTGCTTAAATGTAAGGCTTTTCGCTTTGTTTATGGGAAGCTTTGTTTATGTCACACTTCAAGGCAATGACATTCCAAACTTCAAATAGTGAATACATAATTCATGCTAAATCTAATCACATTGTTGTATACTTACTTCAAGTGACAGTTTAAAAACTGAACTAGAAATATGGGGCAAAAGTAGGTTTATAGTTGTAATGCAAAGAAATACTACAGTAATTAATAAATAGTAGTAATACAAGAATAAACTGTGCATTTCCCATACAACTGTAAACCTTTATTTGCCCACCCTTTTATGACTATCACCAGCAGAAGGAAATTTTGGAAGAAAAATAATTAAACTTTAAAATTTTGCAGCTATGAATTGGGACCAATTTCCTCCCACCCCACAACATTCTTCATCTGACCGTGGGGGCAGGATTTACCGAGCGAGCCCACGAAGTGGCAGTGTGCTATAGGAATGTCATTTGAACTAACTGTACATGTGTGTGTGAGTGTTTATGGGGACATGGGGACTTTGGGAGAGGACAAGCCCACGGGGGTATTTGGACAAAGAGCATCATGAAAACCCAGGCCTTCCAGGGCAAGAACAGAGGCCAACAAAGGGACGTGAGCGGAGTAAAGGCAACACTGTGTGCTTCGTGGTTTTCCTAGGCTGGGCCCTGCCTTTTCCTTCTTTTCTCAGCCCAGTGGCAGCTGCCACTTGCTTCTGGTGACGTGTCACCTCCCCTGGTCTGCCTCCCTGGCTTGGAGTGGAGTCCAGGAGAGGAGAGCTGGCGGCACGGTGAGCCGGAGGCAGTCGCAGGAGGGGCCTGAGCTGGCTGTGCAGGACACACGGCATCATGGGAGTGCTCTATTCCTACCGGCCTTCAGCCTCAGCTAGAAAGATCTTCAGTTAAATGTGGGCTGGAATTGTTTATCTGATGCTACATTTTTTGTTGTCTTATTTGCTCCTGAAATCTAGATTCTCTTTTTTAGACTTAGACTGCTGAAAGGGTAATTTTCTTTTTAAAGTTTGCTTATTTTTAATGTCAGCATCATTTACATGTACTGTTCTTTCCTTATATGTGTAAGGTGGGAATGATGATGTTTTAGTATGAAAGAAAATATCTTTTTAAAGCTTTCATTTTTCCAGCTCTTAAATTTTTAATGTAAATGTACAGATTGTTTTTTCTTATTTTTACAAAAAAGCAGTTAACTGTCTGTATAAAATGCAGTGATGTTTGCTATTAAAATAGTTATTTTACTTTTAAAGAAATTTGGCAGGTTAAAATAGCAAAAATTGAATGTGTGATGTAATATTTACAAATACAGGATGTAATAAAACAATACTAATTTAATTTCTTGTCTGCTGTTTTCAGAGATTAAGTTATTCATGGTAAATATGTTACAAAATTATGCTTAAGACTGGCATAGAGAGAGATTCTCAGTAATGCCTGTATTGTATTACTGGAGACTATTTTAGAGAATGGGTAATTATCAAATTCTCAATACTATTAATATATAGTATACTATTGGGGTGAGATTACTATTTGGGGCAAATGATTATCATCTATCTACCTACCTATATCTATTTCTATCTATAACCATCTATATATCTGTCTTTTTATCACTTGATTTTGTTTGAGTGAAGAAGGTTTCGGACTCAAAAGAAGCCGAAACATAGAAACAGAAAGTAGAATGGGGTTGCCGGGGCTGGGAGAGGAGAAATGGGGAGTTTCAGTCAAGCAAGATGAGAAATTCTAGATATCTGCGCGACAGCACGGTGCTATAGGCAGCACCACTACCCAAGCACACAGTCGTCGGGGGAGATCTGTGATGCGTGCTCACCGTGCAGGGAAAAATGAAACTCGCCTCCGTCCAGGATACACTGGTTGCCGGTGTCTTGGGCGAGGGAGGCTGCAGGCGGCCCCAGGTGGGCGAGGCTGGGGTTCTGCCTGCGCCTCGGGCTCCCCGCGTCCCTGGCTGCTGGTCAGGCCTCTCAGGAGCGTGGGGGACACACCCTGCAGGCCCTCACCCCCTCCCTGTGCTGGCAGTGCAACCCAGGCCTGCACAGACATGTGGGCAGCCCCGGGGAGTATGTTGTTATTACCTGACTCCAAAGGCAGAGGACCTTCTGAAGACACGTTGGAAATCGCTAAATAAACGCTGGCAGAGGCCGGCAACCTCCCCTCTCCAGCTGGTCTTTGTCTCCTGGGCACAGGGCGACCACAGTGGGAGGAACAGATGCCCTTTGGGTCTTCACAGCCAGCGAGATGAACTTCCACCGGGGAAACTCAGAGATTAACAGAGCTTTTCTGGGTATTTGTTACTCAATTCCCACTTATTTGTTTTTATTGATTTTATCGTTTCCTTTTCATAATATAGTAAACACAGGCTGTGTGATATCAGTGTGCATGCATTTGTCTGTTGAAAGATAGAGTTCATTTTTTCCTTCCTGTTTCACTGCCTGTCTAGAAGTGAGTCAGCTTGTGGGGTTACACTGCGTCACTGGCTACGGTCTCAGGCCGAGACATCGACGTGCTGGCTTATGGACAGTGCGAGTTTCTACGACATGATGTGACAGGGCCCGAGGTGACGTGCCATTTCACAGATTCCTAAGACATTGACATGTATGGGTTTTATTCTTTTTAAAAAAATATATTTTTATTGATTTCAGAGAGGAAGGGAAAGGGAGAGAGAGATAGAAACATCCATGATGAGATAATCATTGGTTGGCTGCCTCCTGTACCCCCTACTCCTTACTAATCATTGATTGGCTGCCTCCTGCACCCCCTCCCCCTTACTAGGGATTGAGCCCATAACTTAGGCATATACCCTTGACCAGAATCGAACCTGGGACCCTTCAGTCCACAAGCCAACGCTCTATCCACTGAGCCATACAAGCTAGGGCTGGATTTTATTCTTAATGTGCATCATCGTAGACAAAGTAAAACAGACCCAGTATAATGGTGATAAGGTTATTTGGGGGAAACAAGAAAATAGCTTTAGAATATTTGCCCTAGAAGGAGAGAAAACAAAGTAGAAAAAAAGGTGATGATAATTTTATTAGAATCCAGTTGGCTTAGTCACATTTTTATTCTGTGATTCTAACTTGAGAAAGCTGGTATATCTGATCCACAATGAGAATGGTGTCTCAGAATTCAATATGAATACTTCTGTCAGTTTAGTTTTCAGTTCACTGGGTTCTTCAAAAGGAAGCCTCACTCACCTCACCTTCCTGATTCAGAAAGATTATACAGGGGTGGGCAAAAGGAGTTCACAGTTGTAATACCAACAAATAATACAATAATCCTATATGATAAAAGTGTAGTATGCAAATTGTCCCCTCAACCAGGAGTTGTCCGGGAGTTCAACCAGGGGCAGGGCCAGCAGGGGAAGGAAGGGAGTATCTAGCTGGCAGCCAGCAGCTGCTAAGGATCCTATCAGTGCACGAATTTTGTGCACTGGGTCTCTAGTTAATAAATAATAC